TTGACTTGGCTTTAGTTCAAGAACACTATCCTGTATGTTGACGAAAAGGTGGAAGTGGAGAAATAAAAAGCGGGATCATTGAACATCTGGTCGATAATGATCACCCAAGGTTTTCACCCCGCTCCTAAGTCTGCCCACACGTTTTCATCTCCTCTTCACATGACCTCCTCCAAGTCATCCTTGCACTGACAATCAACTCGCCGCTTTCCTTTCTGGTTCCACTCGGACGATGGCCTGTCATGATATGTCCCTTGATGGTTTCTTCGGAGTATGGCCGACCCATCTCCATTTCTTCCTGCCTATTTGTTTCACAATCGGTTCCTGCTGGGTTGGTTCGCTCATCGCCAGAGATCCCTGTTGCTTATATTTTCTGGCCATCTGATCTTGAGTATTGAGCGAAGACAACTGTTACTGAAGGTCTGTAGTTTGTTTGAGATGCTCTTTATAACGCCTAGTGCATGTCTCTGATCCGTATAGTAGCACTGACTGAGTTCATATTGGAGCTGAAAATCTGGATCTTATTTTTGATGCTGAATACTGTTGACCTCCACACAGACTTAAGAGTAATGAAAGCTTGTTTTGCTTTCCAGATCCTTGCTTTGATATCCTCGTCAGTTCCACTCACCTGTAGTTGAAACGATGCCTCCCAGGTAGATAGGCAGGTGAAGGAGGTTGGGTTGCTTCTTTCAGATTTCACTCATTCATGCTGATTGTTGTCTGTTGTTACTGCTGTTGGCCAGGATTCTTCCTCATTTCTGTTTTCCCTATGTTTACCTGAAGTAATTCCTATCTTTGATGCTTCTTCTGCCAACTTGTTGCTTTTCACTTGCATATATTCCAGTTTGTTGGAAATCAGACACATATCATCGGCAAAGTTAAGATCCTCCAAATTTTTTGTGGTAGTCCATTTTATGCCTGTTTCCTCACTGCATTATTATTATTATTAAGCAGTATTGTTTTGAGGAATTGCCGTAAAACACTACTAAACACTTTTGAGATTCAACGGAACTCTGTGTGATTTTATCAAAATAAAATCTTATCTATAATGGAGTTATACTCTACCACAGTGCTCAAGTTTTGATACTTATATCGTAACACTTGTTTTCGTTATTCTATTCGCCATAATAATAATCTTTCGAGAATTAAAACTGTTTGCAGGCTAACAGATAAATAAATATTGACGTATATGTATATTAACACAGAGTATCAAAATAAACGGCCATCTGTTACCCACTTTATCTCTTTGTCTATTTTTCCATCCTTGTTTGCTTATAGAGTAATATCATCAGTAAAACATTATTATTATTACTGTTATTGCTAAACTATATTATACATGCACGTGTGTGAATGAGAACCCAGGACGAAACGCTTTTTTCGTCATTGTATTGCTTATATTAACTGTTTCTTTCTGTATTCAACTAAGCGACCATTCTCTACAACAAGTGTTTCTCAACCCCTATATATTTCAAAGCAGATGAATAATTTTGATTTATTAAACAACTGATAGTGGTGATATGGCTTTAGTGTTTTATGTAACTGACTAGTAAGTAAAAATAAAATTTTTGAAAAACAACAACTCCTGAATACTATATTCATTTGATAACTCTGATCATTCCTTGATGCAACTTTTTTATCTTCAGAATGTAGTGTGACGGTAGTAGATGAAAAACGTGGTCAAAGAATGTTGGTATGCAATTTAGTACCTCTATATTGCCTTCAAGGAGGAACGGAGGAGGATCTCAAATCGAGCGAGAATCGGGAAGGCGAGAAATACGTTCATCAACCTGAAACCAATCTGGAAATCTTCTTCACTCAGTCAGTATCAACAACAAAATTCGGATCTTCAATACAAACTTCAACTCACTTTTTCTATACGAATCAAAAACTTGGCGAGTGACAAAGAATACTTCCAACCGCCTGTTGCAGACCTTTATCAACAACTGTCTTCACTCTATACTGAAGATCAGATGCCCGGACCAGGAAAGAATCACCAACAAGAAACTATGGGAACAAACAAAACAAGAATCAATCGCCAACCAACAAATATGCAGGAGAAAGTGAAGATGGATAGGACACTCGCTCGCTGAGGAGGCCGCTGGGTGACATCGCGCGCGCATCAGGCCATTGCTCAAGTGTAACCAGGCCGAAAGGGAAACAAGTGGCGAGTGGGACGTCAGTGCAAGGGTGACATGCAGGAAATCGCGTGAAGCGGAGATGAAACAGTATGGACTAATATGGATTCAGGTGAAAAGTACAGCAGAAGACAGAAGCAAGTGGAGACGTGCAGTTGAAGCCCTATGTTCCACTAGGAACTCAAGGGAACAATAATAATAATAGTTATGCCTTCAGCTCACCATTTACACTTGTCTTCAGTGTTGTGTTACTTCTGGTCTTCATATTGTGTTTCTTTATGTTCTTTTCAATTCACCTACGCATATCCACAAGGCTGTGTCATTTTCTTTCACTGACATCAAATCTATCTTCCTGCTATTTGATGTTTCTTACACTAGTGAACATGTCTTTATTACATACTACTGATAAATCTAATCAGTAGTCACGGAGATTTTGGATTAATTTCAGCTGTTGGATTTTCGTTACCAGCGAATATCAGCTAAACAGAGATCATTGAAAACCAACAGGGAGCACTGAATGGCTGTTTGCCGTGTTCTGAGGTTCAATGGCAGTGCTAGCCCACGATCCAACTGAGGATAGAACGCAGGATCTTCACGTTACGAGACCAACCTTGTTGACCGTTTAGCCACTTGCCCCGGAATTCAATGAGGCATTGGATTCTAAATGTATGAATTTATGACACAGCACTGTCTTCCCCAATGCTTTCCACTAACATCTCACTGGCCATGACTTTTCACTATCGCTTCAGGAAATCCACCCAGTAGCCATAAGTCAACTGGCGACTGGTACTCAGATTACAGATCATTGAACTCTGTCCTAAGTGGCTGAACGTTCAACGGGCTTGATTTTGAAATCTAAGGGTTCCGGGTTCGATCCTTGGTGGGATAGTGGACGAGCGCGGATGAACAGCCCCTGAATAAGACGAAGCAACTGGTCAGTGATACCCTACTGGCTATCAGTGATCTTCCTAACTGACACTGGTTCGTAAGGAAAATCTAACTGCAGAAAGTAATCCGTAATCCCTGAAAACCCCATAATCTGTGTACCAACCGCCACCTCATTGATCGCTACTGGAAAGATTGCTGAATTGGCAGTAGAAATTAGTGACCGGTGGGCTTCATCAAATCAAAGTGTAGTGGATGCTCATAGAAGGCATAGCATCAGGGTAGCTCCACATCATGAGCAGAAAAAGTCAGAATTTAAGGTTACTGGACTACAGCCTGAATGTCTGAATGGTCAGCTAAGTTGGCCTTGTAATAGAAAGGTCTTGGGTTCGATCCCTGTCTGGGTCGTAGCACTCAGTACTGAAAAATCTCGAACTAGGGCGAAAAAGCTGCCCACTGCTCCCTGGTTTTCAATGATCTCTATAACTAATGTTGGTCTGTAATGAACTTTTAGCAGTTGAAATCTTTTATCTATTATTATTAATAATTCCATTCATGTATATTTCGCTTTACACAAAAATATCTTTCTAGCCAATGATAATACTTTCATTGGTGCAGTCAAAGATTGACAAATACCCCTCACATGTTATCTCCAGTTGTGTATACCAATTCATATGTATCTGCGACAGCAATTACACTGGAATAACAGAGACGAGAGCTTACGTAAGATTCTGCGAACATGTACCAAGGAGTCTCTGGTTAAAGGGACCAAATTGTCTAAGCTCTTCAATCGCCGTCTAACACCTGATTGACACAGGACACGAGGAGATGTGTTGGAATCATTCAAAATAATTAACAGACAAAGTACCTCAAGTCTTCTCAGGTTTTCTGAAGCCAGAGCCTGACTTATGTGTCCAAAAAGAATCCGTTGTTGGACTTCACTTACCCTGGTAACTCACTTCTTAGTAACTCTTCGTTTTCTAATTTTGTTAATCTTTTCACTCCACCCCCTCTCTTTATTTTTCTCTTGACTCTCCTATGAGATAATTTTTCTTGATCTTCTGAATTCTGCTCACTGTATTACATCACCAACTTCTTATCTGACCTCATGTGCACTGAAACTGAAAAATTTTGATCTTCTCTTATCTAATTACTTAACTGACGCTAACTTTCTTTTGTTACTACCCCAACAATACAACTGTTAATTTTTTTTCAAGAAACTTCTCTCTACCAAGCTATATAAATATATGTATGTCGTAACACTTTAGACACCCTGTAAATCTCAACGCCTTATTTTACTATGACGCTCTGACAGTATGCTTGCTAATGGACAAAGGTTTGTTAAAAATTGTACACTGTTTATTTTTATATTTTTAAAAATTCAGGTTGAACGCAGCTGATGAGAACCAACGGAATAAAATGGATCTAGATTATTTTGCACCAATGCTTTTTTCTTTCTTTGTTTAAATGTATAAAAGGAAATAATTGTATGATAATACCTTGGCTGTTGCTGCTGTCTTTGTCTAGATGAGATTTAGATAAATTTACAAACTTTTACTTTACTCAAAACCTACATGCTCAAACTTCAGTTCACCAACCTTAAACTAATATTATCCAACAAAGTAAATGAAAACCAGTTTCTTTCCGAGTTCGAAAGTGAATGTCTACAAAAAAAAAATAACCATATTCGAGTGTTGGTTTGAAGGGATTTGATCTAAATTGTTACAGAGTTTCGTCATGAACTGACACAATGGTTAGAGAACCATTGGAAAAACTAGGAGTATGGAATAGCCGTTTCGTACCTGTTTGGGATTCTTTAGGAGTAATGATGAAATTAATAATGAAATCTTGTAACCAAAATCCATATCTTCTTGAATATTTTTGAAGATCAGTTGTGTGTGTGTGTGTTTATTGTGTGAGAATACAATTATTCAATTTACCATTGTTTAACAATGAAACATGATAAAGTATATACATTCTTACCATAATCAGAAAGACATTCCAATAGAAATAACCAGGTCTACGTGCTGCTCTACAAGTCACTGAAATACATGGATGACTTTGACTTGAGTGTGTATATTCTTGAGTTGCAGAACGTCGTGTTATTTCGATATGTTCGTGTAGCTTCCATTCCTACATTTTGAAAACATTGAAGACATTAAATAATATTTTTTTTAAAAGATGGATTAATGATCGCCCATGCTTAGCGAAGAACAAAAAGTATAATTAATAGGAACAGACTAATATTCGCTTAAAAATAATTTCAATACTGCAAGAATTTACTTAAAATGTTTCAAGTTTGACCACAGACTGATATCATTTTGTTCTAGTTTGTGACTAATTGGCAGTACGAACCCACCGTGTTTCGAACACAGGACCCTGTACTTGCCAGGTAAACTTGTTCTAATGAGAAGTCTTGACTATTTAGGCCCTCTAGGCTTGGCTGAGGACAAATACTTGGCGCGCTAAAACCAAAAACCGACAGAAGTTTGAATTCATGAGTCGTTTAGTCGGCTTTAGTGGCCAAATGGCCTGAGAACTTGAATTGTTGCTGAAAGGTTATGGTTTAGAACCCCGATGCATGTGTACTGCCAAGGATTTTGAAACCAGGACGATACATATGCCTAGTACCCTTCGCAGGTTATCATCGATTCTCTAGCTGATACCAACTCGAAGTCTAATTTGAAATAAATCAAATCCTTACAAGCTGTCTCTTAGAAATGATCGTATTTTATCAGCCTCAAAATCTGGAGCTCTACGTCAGTAAGAATTCTCTATTCATAACCAATAACAAACTGAAAAGAATGTATAAGGTATGGTACTTCTTCTTCCCAGGCCTTAACATTGAAGCTAAAGTATACTGGAGGAAATTCTTCTGTTCTTATTTGGGAAACGGATTTTTATTATTAGCAAGCGAACGTAGTGTGAACTCCCCTTCCATGGATTCAATGAAAACAGCCAATCTCAAAAGCAATCTACATATATTAAATCACTCTGTTCTTAATATTATTGATACGTCCAGTTCTCGTTCTCCAATGAGATTGGCTATTACTTCTTATAATATCGCTGATTTTTTTTCTTGACTATTTTAGTGGGTCTAAGTATCCATGACTCTTATATTATCAGAAATCAAAATATATAAAACTACATATATATATATATATATATAGGCAACATAAATCACTTGTGGGAAAATTATTAGTGCTGTTATGCTACGTATTGTTTAAGACACCATGGATGACGGTAATAAGCTTTCTGTTTACATTGCTGTTGAAAGTGAATTACTCTAGTGTTGAGGTAGGCTTAGTTTTATGCCATAGACAACCCGAAGATAATTATTTTCGTTTTCAGATTTAGTTACTTACACAATATTAAGTAGTATGATATATTAAAGCAGATTATTTTAATGTGGTTCGATGAGATATTACAAGTAAATTTTGAAGACGATATATTTATGCACATTTATAAATATAAAGATAAATGTTGAAAATTACAGCTGTGAGACTGAATCTTCCGCCGTTCCTCATGGTTGTCTACTAACACCTCAAAAGGAAATTAGAAATCACATGAACGTTTTCATTCGTGTGGTTGAAATGTCAAGAAACAGTCACACATACCCTCCCTTTGTTGACACTTGTGCTTCAACTTTACTGAGGATTATCTAGAACCAAAATTATTTCATATGAGAGCTCATTATAAAAGAAACCTAATAAAAAAACTGCTGACATTAGTACGATCTCACTACTTTTTGCAGTCCTAGTAACCTCGGCATCATATTCAGTCACTCTTCGAATGTAACATTGGGTTACTGGTAATTTGAGACTGCGAATGTCAAAGTACTGTGAAAACAATCCCTAGGACAACAGACAATCTATTCGCCTAATTGTTTCAAATAATGAAAGACAATCCTAGAACTAAAGACCTTTCAAACATCACTTCTTAGAACGATGGTTGGGGTTTTGTAATTCAGTTCCTCAATTTTTCAATAATAATAATAACAGTTGCCACTGAAGTAAGTCTCGGATACTTTCACATAGGTCCATAAGCTTCTTGGAAAGTATCAGGATTATTCTAGAGCCAAGTACAAGCTGTATGGCTTTGAATTTGCCTAAATCTCTTGATCATTAACTAACTCCTCGGGTTTACAACTGACTGGGCGATTGTAACACAACCGAGAACTTTGTTCGATTCCTCATCGTTGCAGATGGTCAATTGGAAGTGTCAAGGGATGATACGGGTCTTTTTGTTGTCACCCATGGAATTGCCAGCGAATTCAAGCACTTCAGCAGCCACGTATTCGAGAACAACTGCCAAGTACACGGGCGCTACATCACCGACTCGTTCAGTGCAGTTACCTTTGCGCAAAAGATGATGTACGCGACCAACTGGAAACTGAAGATCAGCACGAGCATACCGGATCTTTGCTTCTGTGCGAGATATGCCACCTTTACCGCGATCACTCAGGATTACACATTAGAACACAGAAAAGTGTACCCTTTGCAGCTTAACCGCTACTATATCGCTGGTCTCACACATGCTGATACGTCTATATTTTGTGATCACAGCCTTCGCTTGCGTGTTGATTATCCCACTAATCTTCCCTAGGAATTCCGCCCCAGTATCATCCGCTGTAATTTGGGTACAACATTGAGGGGAAACATCACGTCGCAGCTGCTAACAACGACCGTACAGTTCGATCCACCCGTGATGCTCACACGTGCTCACCTGCCGTTTGTATCTTCAAAGAACATGGACTGACACTCTTACCTAAGTTCTTATGTGTTAGAGACACAGCCGCCCCCCTATCTACTAAACATCCTACCTCTTGATCATTCACTCGCAACTTCGAATACACAACCTCTTTCTCAATAGCTACCACTACATGTAGTTGCATACGAGAGAAAGAACACGTATTATACCGTCCAGGCAAATATTCAAAAGCACTGAATTCTGCCAAATAAAGAGCGGCACTGGCCCCTACAACCCGCTTTAAGCTAAATAAAACACCACGAGTGAATGGCGAGGATGTTTTCTCTTATATAATCATTTGTCATAACAAGTACGCATTTTCAAAATAAAATTAATAAGTTGTTGTAAAAGAGGTGGCAGTCATGGCCAGAGTGGTCTAGTGGATAGGGTGTTGGCGTTTGAAACGATGAATCCTATTTCCGAGCCTCAGGGGAAACACCATCACTAACTCAGGAATGCAGTTACCCACTCCCAGTTGATGAGCCCCAAACAGAACGAAATGCACATCCTGAATTCCATTGCTAGTCACAATCCACCAAATTACTAGTAAGATATCGTTCACCAAGATTTAATAGGTAATGAAATGTAAGAAATCCGTTCAAAAGTATTAAAAAAAAATAATAATAATAAGCGCAGTGTAGGGGAAAATTAATAAATTTTGCAAATTGTTTACCAGACAAAAGAAAAATATAAAGAGATATTTTTCAACGATATATTTGCATTTTAGAACTAAAACTGTGAATAAAAATGACATGAACATGAGTTAAGCAGGCAAACACGTATTTCCGGTAAATTCCCATCAGCCTTCATCATGATGAAATCGTGAATAAAATATCAGTTAGTCAAAGACATTTGAAACAATTTGGATCAATAAGAGCAAATAGAATCCAGGAGAATGTAAGTGGAACAATAACGACAAATTATGGGACTAACATTAAAGTGTTTACCTGTAGGACAGTATGCACAGATAATCAGTTAATCAGTGCAAATGAAAATAAGGATAACATTTACAGGTATCTCGTGTCACCATGAATTTAATAAAGAAAAAATCCCCATTTAGACATTTAGAAAACAGAAAGACTGGGCGAAGAAATATTTACTTTTCAATTAGATCCTCATCTCTGGCTCTACAATGATATATAGCATTTTAATTACAATACAACAGTTTCTCAATGCAGTGGTAACAAGTTTTTTAACAATAATTAAACAGTGTCAATGGGTTAATAGTTAACGAAGAAAATCAATACAGATTTAAAAGGTCGAAATGGTTAGAATAAATTAATTTCACAAGGATAACACGTAAATTAAAGATGAAGTGGTCAAAATGCTCACTAGCGACTGGCCCTATTCAAGAAGTTAACCTGGGGTTCTAGTGGGAAGCCGTGACCAGTAGGGTACAGCAGGTCGAAGATGAGGCAGTAACTCATCGAAGAAGACATTGCGAAGTGGTCGCGCTATGTTGTGAATTGGCAGAACCATTGGATCGGGTCCCAGTGGCTCAATGGTCTGTGAACTCGCCTTGCAACCAGAAGGTCCTGGGTTCGAACCCCGGTGGGTGCGTACTGCTGAGGAGTCCCAAACTAGGACGAAACAGCTGTCCAGTACTCCCAGGTTGTTTTCCAGTGGTTCTCTAACTGGTGTGAGCTCATGATTAAATCCTCCATACAAAAATAAAATAAATAACTTAGACAAATATAATTTTATGGGTTTAGGGGGAGTGGGGCGACGCACTCCTGTTTATCCATTCTTGTGACTATGGCCACGGTAGGGAAGGTGGCTGTACAATCTTTGGTTTCAGAAAATGTTTGTTCAATCCCTCTCTCGCCCATGTCATTTAATCACAACCTAGAATAGTTTAAACTCCTGGTGACACTAGATAACTGTGAATATTATTTTTATTTATACTGATAACTTGACTATCGGTACCAAACCGTCTTGTAGTTATACAAAATTTAATCTTAGTCTCATAATTTGTCGTTATTGTTCCACTTAAATTTTCTATGATGGTTGATGAGAATTTACCGAAAACACGTATTTGTCAGAAACTTCATACATTTATTCCCTCTCTATGAATTTGAATAAAGCAAGAGCAACAGTGTGGTTTGTGCAGAATAATATGGTACCATCATTGTTTATTTCATTGGCTTCTCACCAGCTGCCGCTTACAGTCTAAATAAATTATTAAGTTTATGTAGGAAAATGTTTTAACATGCTTGCTCTGACATACTCAGTCTGAGTATGTCACTAGCCAGAGCCTATTCTGCATCTAGGTTGGTCCGCGTTTTTCAGATAACATGCTCTTCCTTGCAATCGAAGGTCAACATATACCCTTCTCATTTTAACCCTAACCGTGTATACAAAGTGACACACATCTGTAGGAGAATTTACACTGGGAGAACAGACAGAATGGTACACTTCCGATTTTCTGGACATATGTCAAACAGCTTAAATCTCAAGGGCACAAACGGTTATAATAGTTCCAGTATCAGACATCTCGTTGATACGTGCCAAGAGGTGGATATCTCAAAATCCTTTAAAATTATTAATTGACAATAAAGCTCAGTTCTTTGAAACCCGATTTATGTGTTCAAAAGGAGGCAGTTATCAGTCTTTCTTTGTCCTGGTAACTAGAAGTCTTTATTCTCTGTTTCCTCTTATTACGTAACCTTTGGCATTAACCTCACTTCTGCTTGGTACAATGTAATTTTGTGTCTCTTGTTTCTATAGTTTCAGTTGAACTCAGAGTACTTTTACCCAATTTATAAGTTACTCATTATCTTACATGACTCTCGTCTTTATTACGCAACTGCTTTACCATTGTATGCCTACATTTATTTTGTTTAAACTCGGAATTCCTATGCGAAAACTATGCAAGCGTAGTTATCTGAGCACTGTTCAGTAAGTTTGGAACTTCCTGTCAACCGACACCATGTAAAATTTGCAAGTATGTTAAAACTTTTCTCTACATGAACTTAATAAACATTTCTTTATGAATTATTTAAATTAATCCCAGCGTGTTAAGAAAATCAAAACAAGATTTTTCTGAACGTTTCGCCGTGTAAGCCACAGCTTTTTCAGGAGATTTATTCGGATCATAATTAATCATCAAAATATACAGTCAAAATTTTTTACATAAATTGAAGTCAGTTTATCATCAGCCTTCACAATTACACAACAAAATATCAGTTAGTCAAAGACATTTGAAAAACAATGTGGATCAATAAAAGCAATGCGATAGATAGCGGACATAAGATTGATTTCGACAATGTCGAAATTCTTGGAAGAGGATTTCATTCACATAAAGAAAGATTGACTTCTGAAGCCTTGTACATTTTAACCACATCAAATGCAGTGACTTATCACCTTCATGGCAAACTCTTATGAAACAAGACAGAGGAAAAAACAACAAACACCCTATGAGCCTGACATGTCAACCTGAGACCGAGCACTTCGGTCCAATCAATCGACGGGAAAATCAAGAATTCAATTCAATAATTAATATGACCCGTTGCACAAGAGGTGGCTCTCGTGGCCCAAGTGGTCTAGTAGATAACGCTTTGGCGTTTGAAACTATGGGTACTGGGTTCGAGCCTCGGTGGGAACATCATCACTCACTGAGAAATGCAGGTACATCCAGATGACGAGTCCCCAATAGGACGAAATGCGCATCCTGGATTCCACTGCTAGCCACTATCCACCAGTTGTATACTGGCTTCAATTTATGTGAAAATGTTTGACTATAAATTTTGATGATTAATTATAATCCGAATAAATCTGCTGAAGAAGCTGTGGCTTACACGGCGAAACGTTCAGAAAAATCTTGTTTTGATTTTCTTAACACGCTGGGAATTATTTAAATAATTTATAATAAATCAGTCTGACACGTTTATCTGCTCTAAAGCACAATCATGAGTGGTTGTAACAAAGGTGGAAAGTCTCGTGCGAAGGCAAAGACCCGATCTGCTCGTGCAGGTCTTCGGCTCCCAGTTGGTCGTGTTCATCGTCTTCTGCGCAAGGGTAACTACCCTGGGCGCGTCGGTGCTGGGGCCCCACTCTATTTGGCAGCTGTTCTCGAGTACTTGACCGCTGAAGTTCTTGAAATGGCTGGCAGTGCCGCGCTTGACAACAAGAAGACCCGTATTATTCTTCGTCACCTGCAGTTGGCCATCCGCAATGACGAGGAGTTAAACAAATTGCTCGGTGGTGTTACCTTCGCCCAGGGTGGTGTCCTGTCTAATCTCCAGGCTGTGCTACTGCCAAAGAAGACCGATAAAGTAAAAGCCTAAGACCATCGGTATGTATGTGTGGCTTGGGAGCCCGAGAACGTGAAACTGGCCCTTTTTAGGGTTACTTGTGTGTCGGTGGCACAGTGGTTAGGACTCTTGCCGACCATGCACATGGTCCGAGGTTCGATCACCTGACAACGCACACCCGATATCTATGGTCGGCCTGCAAAATTTGGGCTACCAATATCCATGCTGAAAATTCCATACATGTACCGAAAATGTGGTGTGGCATCAAGCTGTAAATAATAATAATTATTCCAGGAAGTTCGTAACACCTACGGTATGGAAACACATAATCTTAATAAACACTTATTTAGACTGTAAGCAGCTGATGAGAAGCCAAGGAAATAAATGATGATGCCATATTATTTTGCACAAACCACTGTTGTTCTTTCTTTAGTCAAGTACATATTTGTTTTCTCGAATAAATCGTATTCTAAAATTATCCTAATGGGAGCTCTGAAATTATACGAAATCAGTCAAAGAACACTGCAAATACAGTAGAACTGATGAACAGTGTATTGTCATTAAATAACTTACCTGCTGATCAACAAGCGTCTGCAAATTTATCCTACACGGTTCATTTTTGTCTGGAATGAGTTGAACTTCAGATTCTGGTCGTTCAGACGTTAGAGTGATAGTTAAATCCTAAAAAATTACAGACAGAAAAATGTGATAAATAGCACAGTGTTATAAAAACCAACACATTGATGGATCAGTTGTGATACTTTTATGATACAGTGTATGATATAAAATCGAAGAAGTGTAAAATATAAATTCTTTGATGTAAATGGCTGATCAGTGATCAAAGAATATTCGTTGCTATAACTTCCTCTCCATCAGGTTCTACATTTATATGATAAGTGTAATAAAAGAAATACTGTGACGAACAACATTGACGCTTTTTTTTTTAAATTACACTACATCAGTGGTACCAACAGATGACTACGTGTAAGAATGATCAGTAAGACAGCACCACATGTAGCACTAAACTGATTGAATATCAGATAAATTAAGGACAGTGGTATAGAATTTATGCATATATAAGCTTGACAAAGAGTAGCAATAGTGGTTTACAAGAACTGTTTCTTTTGCACACAGAACTCCTAGTGATTTAAGTTAATTCCATTGACCTCTTCTGTTCTGAATGTTCCGTATCTAGAGGCCTTTAGTAATTATATCGACCCTTTGCTCTAGGTAATTAATTTTTCGTCCTCGGGAACACCTACCATTGTGCCTAAATAAAGGTGTTATTCAAACCATCAACAGTTCTATATTGAATCACCTAGTCCAAACAAGTCACAAAACTGGCTATTATATCATAGGGAAAATTAAAAAGACGGCTGCAGAGAAAAATTTTTCTTTCTGGTGTAGTCGTCAACGGGCCTTATATTCGAATATGTTGAGAAAGTACTAGAACTATTTTCGGTCACGAGGCAAATTATAACGCTTTTGTAGAAAGGCGTCTGACGCTTGTCTTTAACATAACCATCATAAACAGTTAATTATCACAGTAATGATTTTCCGAAAACAGCTGTTATCCGAGCTGCCTGTTTATAAGACGAAAACAAGATGGTGGGTTAGATATTAGCATTTATAGGAAAGCGATACATTATTCCTTTGAATTCACTTCATACCATCTCGAATCAGTGAATATATGTTTAGTTAAATGTCTGTATAATCGAGCAAAGAGCCTAACTAGTAATTAAATCAAACCAATAAGGGGAATATTACTAGTGCATAACTACCCACCAGAATTTATTGAAAAATATATACATGAAAAACCATCGAAAAACTAGGACTAGCAATAAAAATGACCAAAATAATATAGAATTCAAAGCATCTGTAATACTGCCGTACAAAGAAGGAAAGTCAGAGGCCTCACGTAGGATTCTCAATAAGGCTGGAATTAACCAGATTGGCATTTAAACTATTCAACCAACCAACTCTCTCAGAGATCAACTTTACTGGCTTAAGGACCAAAAAGATCTAATTAAGAAAAATAATATATTTAACCAAATACCACATAATGACTGCCAGTGAGGTCAATTACATGGGTCAAACTAGTAGATCAGGGTCAACAAGATTATCGGAAGATAAAAAATGAGCTAGAATTAGAATAATTGACGGCAGGAATCCTTGGACCTAGGTTTCCTGCTAGCCGGTACTCACCGGTCATCAAGACGTATCAGCTACCTTGAAGGAACTCATGTCCCTTCTGAGACTAGAACCAGTGCCACTCAGCACTGCAGTCAAAGACGTTACCACTGAGCTATCCAGCCTCGCATTAGTGCGTCAGTGGCACAGCGGTAGAATACTTGCCAACCATGCATGTGATCCGGAGTTTGATTCCCTAAAGATGTACCCCTTTACCTCGCTAAGCCAATAATAAGACCGATAAGAAAGGAAAGTTGGGTATGAGGCTAGCAAACCCATCCCGTAAATATAAATACAGTTGCTAATGAAACTTCAAAGCTCTAGCTCGAAGCCCTATGTTCTACTGGGAACGTAAATGAGTTTAAAAAAAAGAATAATTGATCCTACTTAGTTAAATAACCTAGAAAAAAGCTCAGCCACTGCACTGGATTCGCCTGCATGTGATCACAAAATAGTGTGGGTGAGACAAGGTGAGAGTATTAAAAAGTAACATAGTTTTGTGGAGAGCCAGAGAGGTTAATCCCTGAATCTTTGTTTATCGATTAAACATTGCATACGTTCAACCAGAATGACGCAACGCCTGTGACATCGAAGATGCAGAAAGTGGTAACAAACACAAAGGGATTTTGGATAGGCAGAAAGAAAGGAAAAATACATAAGACAAATTGTGAAAACATGTGACAAACACTGATATGATAATCAGCAATAACTTATGCTCCTAACGTCATCCAGTTAGTGATAGTGCATCATCACTGTATGATACTTAAAATAAACTTATCTAATATAGAATCACGTTCTACCCCAGGGCCTAAGCTCTTCACCTACATTCATATTTATTCTGTTATCTGTCAATTTTAATGTCCATTTCACAATTTATTATTATTACCGCATTATCTAACTGCTATGTGATAGTAATAATTTTCCCGTCTACGTCACCAGTACCTAGATTATGTAAACACTTGAATGAATTTATCTTTATTATTATCATTATGATCACCTTGACTGTTATCCATCAATTCACATGCCTAAATTCACATTCTACATTTTATTAACCATATTACTTCAAATGCCAAGGACTAATATCTCATTATGTAAATGCAAAGCTTGATGAGAATTTATCGATTATACTTTTTTTTTAAATCGCGTTATCTATTTTGTTACTGGTGAAAAAAATCCATTGGGACATATAGACCATCAAAACATGTTGTAAATGGACGCGAACATCGAACGTTTGTTCATTGAAACTGGTAGCCATTGGCGAGCAACTCGAATGTGCTTTTGATGTGGTTTTGTTCTCTGAGCTGGATGGTTAATTTGCGAAGCTTTCATCACCCGACTGGGTGACATCTTCAGCGCATACTTCAATTTGAAGTGAGCTTTTAGATTTCTCCACGAGTTTATTAATCATCTCTCCTCGTGACCTTGGACATGATTGGTTGTTTATGTTTGTTTTTACATCTTCTAGGTTACTTGTATTGGAACTGACTGTTTCTTTGACTTAAACTTTGACCCTTTTTGTGTGAAGTTTCTTTCTTATTGGTTGATAAATTTTGTCTATCTTGATGTGTCTATTGATTGATGATTCACCGGAATGCCAAGCTTCTAAAAATTCTCTAGCATTCTTGTTGTTTCCTCTGTCTAATATTTGAACGTTGTCCCAGTCGAACTGATGTCCATGGTTTTCTGTATGTAGTGATATGAGTGAGGGAGTGGATATCATGTCTTTTGACGGCCAACTTATGTTCGTGGATACGAAGACGAAGGGGACGTCCACTGTGGCCAATGTTGAGGTCAAAGAAACAGTCAGTTCCAATACAAGTAACCTAGAAGATGTAAAAACAAACGTAAACAACCAATCATGTCCAAGGTCACGAGGAGAGATGATTAATAAACTCGTGGAGAAATCTAAAAGCTCACTTCAAATTGAAGTATGCGCTGAAGATGTCACCCAGTCGGGTGATGAAAGCTTCGCAAATTAACCATCCAGCTCAGAGAACAAAACCACATCAAAATCATCCACCTGAGCTACAAATCTTGTCTCTCTTTCATAACTCGAAGGTGCGAATGGTTCACTCACGTACAAGTTGGAGGGAGATGAAAGAATCTGAATAAAAGTACATTATATCTACTATAAAACATTTGCTTATAGACTTGTACTTATCCAGACTTTAATTGCCAAACGATACAACTTTTTCAAGGTACTGGTATTTTGGAGTTAAAGTCGAGAAAGTCATAGTAATTATCGGTTCGGAGTGTCTTTGCAAATAATAGGAACTTAGGGTTAAGTTCCTTGACACATATGATTCAGAGAAGTGTCTGTTTACAACGAATTTATTATCAAGTAGGCCATTACCATCCAGTAACCTGAAGTGCAAGATACCACAGTTAACCAATTCTATGTGCAGTTAGCAATCCACCTGCTCTAATTGAGCTAAGTATATTGATGCATCGAAGCAATTTTTATCGAAGCTTCAAGAACACCACCCTGTGTGGTTACGAAGATGTGGAAAATGGGGTTTTAAAAAGTACAATAATTGAATATCTGGTCAATACTAGTCATCTTACTTATACAACCTCTCCCTTTAAAGTTATCTGCAAGATGGATCATTATATGTTCGTGTTGCTGAAGCTTTAAACATCGAAATAAAGGGGCCAGATCTCTGTATACAGAAAAAAGTTCGTTCAACTCCCCCAACGCTTGTCACTTAATCTGTCTATCCAACACTTCAGCTCTTTTTATTTTTTTATTATCTTTATTCAGTTTGTATATTCTTTCCTTATTGCGTTGATTGTTATTATTGATTTCGCTTTGAAATATTTTCAGGATTCATTATAATAAAGGTTTTTTGTATTTCCCAATGAATGAAAAACAAAACGAAATTGTTTTTCTTAGATGACCACACACTCTCCGATAACAGATGAGAAAGAAAAAAGAAGAAGAAGAAGTGTCAAACATTATTGAGACTCTCAAGCAAAACAAAACTGCCCAAAGAACTTCATCAACAAAGTCAACACAGACATTAAGTATGGTCGAAAAACGTATTCCGGAAACATGAACCTCAACAGTTGTCATTCCATACAGATCAGAAAAAGCAGGCAATATCGGAAGAGTACTCAATCAGCTCGACATCAGAGTTTTCTTCAAAACATCAGACACACTGCGAAACAACCTTGTCCATATAAAAGACCAAATCTCTAAGGATTGTCCATCTAACTGAGTCTGTAAAATAAAATGTTTGTAATGTGATGTGATATACATCAGACAAATCTCATCAGAGAAAAATCAAAATCAGAAGAAATGAACACCGTAGATCATCCATTTCTACCCCCGGAGGAATAAATCCTGTTAAACTAGAAAAGCTTGAAAAATCATCAGCCAGACATAGGTCGTCTACACGCTATAGAGTCAGGCCACAGAAATTAATTTTGACAATATTGAAATAATCCAGGAAAAGCATTTCAGAAACCACAAAGAACGTCAAAAATCAGAA